CCAACCATTTCCAACGGCTTATCAATATAAAGATAGTTCTCCGATAGACGCTGATTTCAACTACTTTGCGCCACTTGTCTATTGAGTGCATCTAATGAAGAAAATAATCGAAATAGTTACTTCCATAGAGCAAGCTTTCCTTTTCAATTTAAAATAACCAAAAAATGCGTCAGTTTAAGAACCGCTTCTCAAATAAGTTACGATTTTTCTTATCGAGAATGCAATTAGCCATAAAAGTTCGAGATCTTTTAGTGAGTTCGGTGTTCCAATTTTTTGATTTATCGTTAGTTAGCTGTCATTATTCATTAAATTACGTAAAGCCAGCTACTTCTTCTATTTGAAATAACAAAAAAATTCTTAAGTCTAAGGCAGAGCGCTAAGGTAAGCACCAGCTTTCGCTTAAGAAACGATCTTTCTTCGAACTTTCTTGTTAAGAACGCAGTTCGAGACTACAGTTTGAGTTTTCTTTTTGTAATCGGATTTCGATTTTTTGTGTTATCGTTTGTTAGCTGTCATTTCTCCTAAACTAAGGCTTTCTTAATAAGCTTTTATATGCAAATGCTGTTCTTCTATATTTTACAAATTTAGCTTAAGCATTCGATATTTTATCTCCCTCAATTTGTATAATTCGAATATTTAAGTAGCGCTGCCGTATTTTGGCTTTTGTGCGCATTTAAAACCCTTCACTTTGTTATATTTTCCACAATATTATTCAATATATTAACTTTGAGTGAATTTTCCAATTTCATTGTACATTTTCTAGCCATAATCGATGGCGGCCAACGCATAAAAGGCGAATAAAGATGCTACAAACAGCGCTGATGTTGCAAAGTTTACAGCTTAACCGTTTGAATTATGTTGCAAGTATCGCAGCCACACAGCCACACAGCTTATGAATGCATTTCTGCGCGCATATTTTTTAACATTTCCACTACGCAAATTTTATTGCGCGTTATTATTGTTTTTTTTTTTTTGTTTTTATCAGCCAACTGCAGATAATTTGCAACATTAAGCGCTGATTTATTCGCCACATTTCTTTCTGCTTAACAACTATTTTGCGCGCTGCTGTATATATATATGTATATATATTATGTATGTATATATAATCCGCCGTTATATTTTGTTGCTGCACTCATTACAATTTATTTCCAATTCACCTGCAGTTGATTTTCACTGATTTTCCTGGAGCATCCTTCAGTTGTGCTGCTTTTAATTAGCGCTTGGCGTAGCCTAGCATTGCATTCATTCGGCTCCCCCGCGCAATTTCTATTTCAGAACTTTTTTCATATACATGCATACATACATATGTACATGCTGGCACCCCACCGCGCGCACCAATTCACGCTTTTCAGCGCTGCAGTCGACAGTCGGCAGTCAGCACTCGACATTCGCCATTCAATTTGCCTCGTTTAAATGTGAAAAGTAGTAAGAAAATATCTGCCAAACCATGCAATTTTTCTACACCATTTTATTTTTACGTTTGACAGCTATACATATGCGCACATACACATATAAAGGTGCCTAGTATACATTCGATTTTATTTACAAGTGGCTTTCACTATGTTGCAACCCTGCGTTTTGCAATTGCATTCACTTTGCCGACGTTCCCATTCCATTGAAGCGCACAAGCATCGCATTGCGGTGTAAATATGCATGAAAATGTATCACTGTGATGCTAGTTGTTGTTGTTGTTGGTATTATTATTGTATACTGTTGCATTTTTTATTGTGCTGCACATATAATTGCATGCTTGTTGGTTGTTTTCCAGTTGGCTACATTTTGTATCTTTTCCATTTTAGAAGTGCAATTTTACAAAAACATTTTTTTTTCAAAAGAAATATATTCATATATACAGCTATTCAACAATTTCATGTACAATTATGTATAATCTACATAGAAGTAAAAATTACACACATAAGACTCATAGAAACTCGAAGCGTGTTGCAGAAATGGCAGCACGGCTGATGGATATTGTAAATTTTTCTTCATCAGTAGTATAGTATGCACTGATTACATAACCGCATTCTTTGGTTGACTTTAAAGTTACTTACACAAAGAGTAACTACTACTCGGGCTCTACTATGGTGTTATTAAGTCTTCACGAATGAATAACAGAAGAAACCCATCGATACTGGATAACTCTCCACCGTTAACATATTAAGACTTTGCGAATAAGTAACAGTAAATAACCGTAGCTAATGGTTTACCTAACGTACCAACATACTATCGACCGTGGTAAACCTGGAACGCCTTGAAAACCAAACACAATGAAAGCTTGCTTGAATACCATGCTTGGAAAAGAATAACAAGAGAAATTGAAAAATTTAACTTTATCCATGAAAACAAAGCTAAAGGGATCCTCTAGCTCGCAAAGTCGCGTTTATTAAGGCTTTAGACTTCCGTATAACGAGTGTTTTATTAGAGACGTGTGGTTTTCAATGAGACCTTACTCTTTTACGAGTTGGTCTCTTTTACAGCTCTTACTTGATTAATACTCTGTTTGGTTTGCCGTTTCATAATACATAAACCTATTTATTTATTTATTTATTTATTAAAGGAAATACAAATATAAATAATTATAATATTTATAAAATATAACAGCACTAGCGACAAGGCATTCAGCTGCGAATAGACCTAAATAATTGTTTCGCACCTTGTTTACTCCAGTGGACAAGGCGCATTCTCAGATATGCCGTACAGTGGTAGATTTAACGGAAGGATCGTGGTTTGTGGGCTTACAAAATCCAACTCGTGGAAGAATTAAAACCGAACAATTGTTCAGAGTTGAAGTTCACTTTTAAATGGGCACCTTAATATGTTAAGCAAAATTATCGCATTTGAAGTGATGACAATCAACAAGCCATTCTTCATACGACGTTACATCCTCAAAGAGTTACTATTTGTTGTGCTCTATGGGCAGAGGGAGTCTTTGGTTGCACATTACTGCAAAAATTAAGCCAACCAACAACATAATGTTACAGTCAATGGGGAACGGTAGAGCCATGATTGGCGTCTGAATTTAAAGAATTTGAGTGAAGGACCCAGACGGCGCTACATACAGCCACCGAAACAATCAATTTATTGAAGTAAACTTTTGGTGAGCGCATTATCTTGCGTCGTACCCTCCAAAAGCATGCGATTTAACCTCATTATATTTAGCTCAGATAAACCTGAGATGATTGACGCTTTGGAAGAGAATATTCGATGCATTACTGCTGACATAGCGCCCCAATTGCTGCAAAAAGTGGTTGAAAATTGGGTTTCTCGCCTGGAATTTATTAGGGCCAGTCGCGGCGGTCACCAATAAAGCTAAATTCTTGACCAAAACATTAAATTATATGCTTAAGAATGATAAAGAAACCAACATACACTAGTCGCTTTTAATATTCTTTGGAATTCTTTATAAGAAATAGTTTGTCTAGTGTAAAACGGCGTGTTTCTTTATATCCTTAGAAAGTCTAAGAATGTTACCATGGTATTGCAATATTTACTTCATAACCAAGATCAGTGTTCAATCTACGACAAACCTTTCAAAGACGTAAAAAATTTTATTCCAAGGTTTACCACCGAGTTGCTGTAATGATTCGGTGTAGTCACCTGTAAAGGCGTTACACCTCTTCCATTTTGTGAAAAAGCGGTTAAAACTGACGCAAAAATATACCAGCAGAATATTTTAGAAGGTCTGGTAAAGCAATTAAGCAATAATCTCTTCGATGGAGAGGTTCTGCTCCAGCACACAAGGCAAACCCCACACAGCAGTGGCTTAAACGAAATATGCCTGGCTTCCTGCAGATGTTTGGCCATCTGGAAACCCATATTCGAATCCATTGACTACAGGTTGTAATCAAACTTGGAGAATTTGACCTGTCGAATACTTCACAGAATAACGGCCTAACCTTGTAACAGAACTTATGGCATGACTGCGTATTTGAATACCACCGTATATTCTCATCAATCTCTAACTCGCGCGTATTTAAAAATCACTTTTTCCACCTACACACACAAGTGTCAGAAGACTGTAAGGTATATTTCACTGTTCAACACTCAACTCAGACCAACGCCGTCTCACTTGAGTGTCACAAATAACCAACTGAAAACGCTTTTGTTTTTGTAATCCTTTGTGGTGTATGTAACAACTTTTTATGGTTGAAATAATTTTTTAATCGGAATAAAGTGTATACAAAAGAATCAGCGAGAAGTGTGTCTGCTAGTAAGTGTGAGGAGAAAAATTTTAACTTTTGCATTTACCAATCAAATGGTAACACCCAATAATTTTATAGTAGGAAAGCAAAATTTCTAGAACATCGGTGTGCTTATTTGGTGCAATGGATAACGGAAAAGGGCATAACTTGTACTATAAAGGTTTCTTTTTTTTTGGTTACAGAGCATGTTATAATTAATGATAATTACTTATTTTACTCACTTTGTAGAAGTCTTTCATGTTTAATGAACTTAAGGCTTAAACGAAAGACATTGACGCTTGATTAAAGTCGAAAATAAAGTATACCATAGCCACCTTTTTGCCAGATAAGTCTGCATTCTTCTTCGAGTTATTAAATGATGTTAAAAAAACTTAAAGTTTCATCCATTCTAAGCACAAAATCGATCAGATTTCGAGTAATCTAAGCTTAAAAAATATTGAAATTTCTTCTAATAATTTTTAAACCAAATTTTAAAAGTCAGTCAACTGTCAAAATATAAGTTTGCTGCAACGACACATGCGTTTCAGCTAAGTTCCACACCATTAATGCTATAGTGAAACTAAACTCTTCAAATAACCTAACAATATCCATACCACTAATAAAAACAATATTTATTTCGTTTACGTGACGTTTTTATTACTTTTTATTCTATCCATAACAGCAATTAAGTTTATTTTTTCTTATGCTAATTTTTATTACTTTCACATTACATCAACTTCTAATCGAACCTATTTTTTTTTTTTTTTTTTTGAACTAAGCTTTGTTGCCGTTTTTTTTATAATTAATTTCGCACAAATATTTTGGTTCATTGCAAAGCAACTTAAAGTTTTATTTACAATAAAATTAAAGCAAAAACACAAACATACTAAAAATTCGCTTAGCTAAATTAGAATTTCACTAATTGCGCCGCCTGCCTTACAGCGGACAGCCATGCACGTAACTCACATTACGAAAGATCGCCGCCGCTGCGGCAGAAGTAAGAAAATTGCATGGATTCGTTGGGCTAAACGTCGATAAGCCCGTTGGGCAACAGCCCAGCGTTGCGCCAGTAGTGCCATCGCTAACGAACTCTTTCTCTAACGTCGCCTGGTGACGCAGCTGTTCGAGACGCAACTGATTTTGGCGCTTCCACTTCGTGCTGTTGGTAAATTGGTTTAATGACAAAAAACGTGAGTTACTAAAGTTAGTAAATAAATAAAAGCCATAAAAAGAAAAGAAAAGAAAAAAACGCGTTGCCGGCGACTTACCGTCTATTCTGATACCAAGTTTTCACTTGCGTTTCCGACAAGTTGAGCGTCTCTGCCACATCGCTGCGATCGGCCACAGATAAATATTTCTGACAACGAAATTTGCGTTCGAGATAGGCGAGTTGCGCATGTGTGAAGGCCGTGCGTCTTCGACGCGGCTTGCGTCCACTCTTATTCAAATTTAAGCCCAGCTTGCTGTGATGCATATGATCACTGCCGCCAATACCACTTCCGCCAAAACCATGTGTTTGCATGTGTGCTGCTTGCATATCCAACTGATTGTTAGTGTTTGATGTCGCATTGCTGTTCGTGTTATTGTTCGTATTGCGATTAGCGCCGCGCTCATCGCCATTTGGAGAATGCTGATTCGACTCTACGCTGGACTCGTTGACCATAAAGTGTAGTTGCGTTGTGCTGCCACCGGCCGCTGTCCCATAGTGATGACTGTGCAGCATATCCGAATCAGGTGAGGAACGATCCTCGATATCGATTTCTGAGTTCTCATCGGACAAATCGGAATCTGCAAGGAAAAACAAAGACATTTGCTGATATTTTAAGCATTCTATTGTAGTGTCCTAATGGTATCACGTAAGTTTGCAAAAGGGAACATTATAACTAGAGAATCGTAAGATTTGAATTTATTAGTTTTTAAATTAAATTATCAGCCCTATAGCGAGCTTGACCCGTCATATGCTAGGCGGACGAAATATTTGAAAATTTGAAGAAAAGGGTTATTAAGCGCCTTTAATTTAGTCAATCGTAAGTAGCCCTCGCAGCATGCATCTGTCATTTAACAACATATGAAAGACTGTGAACTCTAATCAAATGACTCTCCAGGCGAAATGATGGGTTGGGCTATCCAACGCCATCAAGTGTCACAAATTTGTACGTCGTAGTGAAGAAATAAGTGATAAAAAGAAAACCGGACAGACACAATAATCTTAGTTGTTATGCACCGCCAACAAGCAGTAGTTGTTCCGACTCGAAACCGCCGAAAATATATTCCGAATTTATACGTACATCTAATGCTTAATTTATCGCCAAAGTGATTGCTTTCATGCATTCAAAGAAGCTGCAGCGAATTTTTGTTAGAGATATGAAAAGTTCTTGGCAAACTAAGCCAGCGAAATGCGTGAACTGCACATATTTGCGGCATTTTAAACGTGAACTTTAGGAAAACGATTTTTACATTAGCCACTACTTTTTGTTGTTATAAAATCCACAGAAAAATTGTAGACATTTTATAAATTTAAATAGAGAATCAATTACGAACCGAAAGGAAGTCAAATTTCGTGTGCAAACACAGCAGTTGCAACCGACAACGCTGGTGCCAGGCAGCGCTGTGACGGCAACCGCTACTTGGCTCATTAGTATCCCGTTGTGTTGCTCGTGTAAACGCTTAACCGCCCAAGCAGAATGCAGCAACGTTTGAAAGTTTAAAAATAGCGCACATGTGGATAGTCATCTGGATGTGCTTGTGCTTAGACAGACACGCAAATGAAGTCAACATATAAACATATGTATTATATTATATATATATACAAGTATATATAATATAATATTGCATATTAAAGTCTAGTAAAAAGAAATCCATTATTTTTTCAGTATAGTTGTATAAGTGAAATGCCGTTAAGCTATACGGTATTACAAACATCGTTTCATACCGTTTCAGCACTTGTAAAAGAAGGATATCAGCAAAGAGAAAATGCACCATATTTTACTTTAATTTCATGCACCGAACTTCCATCTTTAAATCATAACAAAATCGATACATTTCTGCAGCAGACTGTTACCGATTATGATAAGTGAAACATTAACGACAAGGTCTAGCGAAGGCGGTGTTGGTCGAATCGCGGTGAGCCGGCGCATATGCGGCCAAGCACGGACCATGTGTGGTTAGTGGTATTGACAGAGAATCCTCTACTATGAGCTGATTTCCAAAGGCCAAACTCCTCATTATGGGAATTATGTTCAGGACAACACGAGGCCACCACATATCGATAGTGATTCGGCAGAAGCTCCGGGAGCTTGACTTGGGGGCTCGCATACATTCACACTTCCTGTCTACGCTTCAAGAGAAGCTTGCGAAAATCAACTGCCTCAGTTTTTGGCCAATAGTGACAAGGATTTCTATGAGAGTGGCATTACGAAATTACCTTTAAAATGGCAACAAGTTTTCGAGCAAACTGTATTTCTTTTTTAAGGCATAATTTTGGTTATTACTTAGTTACATACATACATATGTGCATTAAAATATTTTTCAAGTGCGCGAACGCACAAAAACTGCTACATCAAACCTGACAACGCCTTCACAGTTAGCTTTGCGCACTTTAGTCACAAAACAATGCGAAAAGCAATAAAAAATAAAATCGAATAATCCATTAGGCAACACTTGAAGTACCTAGACGAACTCGTGTTCTACCACTTATGTCTACATGCATTGTAGTTATGTACAAATAAATTGGTACATCTCAGCCTTTTAACCTCTTCACATTGACTTTGACTTCTTCAAATCAGCCTCAATTTGTGCATAAAAAAACAAAATCTAACAAAAACTGCAAAAAAAGTTATACATGTATAAAAAGCAGCAGCGGTTTATTTATATCCGCCGGAGATATGCGTATATCCTGTGGATGTAACCCTAAAACCTAAACATAGACACTCATTCATGCACTCGCATGCAGATATACTTGTACTATATAAGTATATATAAGTATAGTATATCATAAGTGGACATGTGTACACGTACTCGTCATCGATGTACATATATCTACTGCGCCACTCACTGCACCGCAGGCTGATTATATTCACGTGCCGTCGTGATAGTCAATTCAATTGTTGCTTCCTGCTGGAATTTTTTAGCTAAAAGCGTTTTTCGTTTGAAGCCACTCGTACGTATTCATTCTAATTTTACCAAAGTGAAGCAGCCAGCAAGTGAAGGCAAGCAACTTGCGCTGGCAAAAAAATGCGTAGGCTATCACGTGTGTCTGCCGCGCAGCAGGACAGCAAAGTTATATGTGTTCATTGCTGAAAAGCTTGCGTACTCATATGTAGTTAAATGTAAGAGTGTAAGCATATTGCTATAGATGCGATAAGTTTCATTTTAACCCCTATTTACAAGTTATATTTGACTGTTTTTTCTTGCCTTATCGCACCTTTGATTTTTTGTGAAATTTGTATGACATGTTGATGTGTAGAATATATCTGTGTTTTTATTACTATGTAGACCTCATCGGACACTAAAGCATGTTTTAAAAAATCTTTAAACTTTTTTATACATTTTATTGCAGTTTATGCTATGCTATGCGTTCCAGAACATAGTGATATTCCTGGTAACTGTGTAGCAGATGAACTAGCCAGAGTAGGCACCACCCTACAATAAAATCGCGAAAAAGTGGAAATTTATACGCATCTGGCTACTTGTAGATATTTAATCGACAAACATGTTTAAATATAGCTGAGTCCCGATGGAGTTAATAACTATTTTGCTTAACAAGCAGGCAAATATGGCATGAATGGAATATGGGCCGCACATGCCGACTATTAAAATTCAAAAGGAATGACATAAGAACTCTAGTAGAAATGCTAACAGCTCACTGTCTAATTGGCAGACATGCCGGCCGACTCAATCACTCAAAAAAAAACTGGTTTGGTCCGTTACCCAGCCGAGTCTTCTGCAGAGCCATAACCGAACCAACATACAACAAATAATATTTTAGTCGGTAGCTACATCATGAAAAAAAGTTCCAAAGTCGAGTATGATTTTTACATTTGTTGCTTTTCCTTTAAGCGTTTAGGTACTTAATACCGGTAAATGGCACCGAATTTACTAGATATGGCCGACATACCGCCGTAAGAAAATCGGCTACCTAAATCTTTTATTAATATACAAAATATTGCGGTTATAGGAGTTATGGAATTTTTATATTTTATGCACGTTTGTAATATTCCTACAGGGTATTTATGGAATTTTTTGTATATCCTTATTTTATTACCTATAAGCTTTTCTGTTTGTTAACATGTCTTCAATTGAACATACTTCAGGTTATTCGATTTTGATTGTCATCATTCGAACAAAAAGTCACGTTACAGTACTAAACAAGCAATTACTTATCAATAATAAGAAAACACATGAACTTCTGTCGCGCCGAAACTATAATACCCTTCACCAATAAAAAAAGTTTTCCACACAAGCACTTGAGTTTGATCAGTCAGTTTGTATGACAGCTACATATAAGCTAAAGACGGCCGATCTGAATAATTTTTCGCAGATCGTAATCTCTGTGCCAAAATTTTAAGATACCACGAAAAATAAAAAAGTTTTTCATGCAAGCACTTGAGTTGGATCGGTTAGTTTGTATGGCAGCTATAGCCTATAGTGATCCGTTATCGACGGATGACAACAAACAACAAATGAGCAGCTTCTCAGGGAGACACAGACGAATGTTTCGAAAAAATTTCAGTAGGATATCTCAACAACTTAGAGACTAGTTCGCTTGTATACAGATGAACATGTTTAAATCGACTCAGCTCGTCACGCTTATCATTTATATAGATTTTATACGGTCTCCGACGTTTCACTCTGTGTGTTACAAACTTCGTGTGAAACTTAAACCCTATTCAGGGTATAAAAAGCATATAACTTCACACCAAACTAAATTTTTAGCTTCATAAAACCAGCTATCGGCTATGAGGGCATACCGATAAGTACCTAACCTCAACGCTCGATCACGCCACTATCGCAAGATAAATTCATCTAGTAGATGCCTGTAGATTACTACTGTCAAAATTCCAAACGAATACTTTTGCTTTTGTCGTGTGTGGAAGAGGAGGAGTAAGAGTATTTTAGAAAAACGTAAAAAGAGCCATATCTGTCAGGATGCATTGTTGGAAGAACGCATAATGAACATACCGCCGACTAAAGGTGCATGAGATAGCTGATAGCTGCCTACTATCAGCTCAAACTATCATTCCGCAATATTTGGCATGAGACATTTGCTCCCTTCGGACAACAAACAGACAGAAAAAGTTTAGTTTTTTTTTTATTTATATAATTATTTTACATATTCGACGCAGATTCTAACATAAAATTGTTATTATTTTTTATTGTGAATTTCACTGTAAATACAACTATATTCTTTCATATAAAGAATTTGCGCTTTTGACAACTTTTCACACTGAACATTACGCAAAGAGATGCCGCGCGCATTCATTGCACGGCACTTTCAAGTGCTCATTTTTGTAGGAAAACAAATTTATAATCGTAATAAAAGCATGCACTCGTCAACGGTTATATATAATTCGCAGTTAAACTTGCAATTAACTCATAAATAGTTTTTTAATTGTTTGAACAATAGGCAGCGTTGTCACTCTGCTTGCGAAAAGCAGCGCATTCAACTTGGCCTGATATCAGTCATGTGTGTTACTCATAATTACCGTCATGGCACTTCCAAAACACACACAAATACATACACAGTTTGAACGTACAAGGATATTTCAATTACCACAGGCGCATATACAGTTAGAAATTTGCATGGCAGCAGGCCGAGCGCATTTGAAAGTGTTGGTTTAACATTTTAATTGCCTACAAAATAGTAGTGACACACATACAGCCATATAAGCGTATAAAAATGCAGCTGTGACTGCATAAGTTGCACTCATTTAAAAATTGCATGCGACTCTCTGAGCTTGCAAAATGTCCCGTCACCGCATGCATTACGCAAATCCACAACGACGTGTTGGTTTTTGGCATCCTTTTTCTAGATGCTTGCTGCAAAGTATAGCTGCAACCGTGTATGCGTATATGACATGCATATGTTTTGCTGTTTGTTGTTGTTGTTGCTTTGTTATTGCCAGCATGGCAAAGTGGTTGTACGTGACAAATTGCTTATGAACACGTTAACATTCTCAATTCGACAAATTAAATTATTACCTCGAGCGTTTCGCATTTCTATGCACTTATGTATGTATGTGTGTATGTACTTAAATCTAGCATATGTATATGCATGTAGACTAATATTTTTGCACAACATTTGCGCCAAAAAGATTTTGGGCCTATTAGCATGTTTTTTTTTTTTTTTTTTTTTGTAAGCGGTTGTTTGCAAACAATGCACCGGTAATTGGCTGTGAACTATGGAGTTAGAGATAATGTGAAGAAAACTAGCCGAAATAATTGCATTTGATCTTACTTCGGCACTAGAGGTTACAAAATTTAATACAACCACAGGTTTTAGCAGGTATATTAGAGAGTATATTAGGGGGTTTTAGGGAGAAGCTCAGTGTATTTGTACGAGTAGTCATGAACATAACAAATAATTTAATAAATTAAAGGTTTTATTTAGAATTGTTAGAATGAACCGATTTAGATCAAAAATACAGCATTTAGCTCGAGAAGTTTTTGCCACTTTGAGCGAAATTTCATAATACCACTCACATAAAAACCCTTATACCTAATGGCGAAAAACTGTGACAGTCGATTTTTGCAAGTATCTCTTGAGGCGAATTTTTCACAGCAAAGCTTCTGGCGAGTCACTATCGGTTTATGTGGCCTGCCGTTGTTCTGGTGGGTCACAATTCCTCTGGTATTAGACAAAAGCTGGCTGCTTCTAGGCAATTGTAGCCTAACGACGGTCTAATTGTAACTAGTATAGGTGCAAATTAAGAGTACGGCCGTAGGGGAGGTGCTCATAGTAGACAAAATCTTTTTGACCGTCAATTCTGGCTTGGCTACTGTTTGCGCTGGCTGCACGCGATTTGACCACGACTGTTTTCGCTTGACGTTGCCGTAAGTAACCCACTTTTCATCACGATTTTGTTTTGCAATTCAGATTTTTTTTTGCAATTCAGCAGCGATTGGTTAATGGAAATTCGGTTCATGAGGTTTCTGTTAGCTCGTGTACATCGAGATATTTTTGGTATCCAGTCTTTTTAAATGGTTCCAAATGGTTTTTTGGAAAATCGAAACAGTGCTTCTACGACGCTCGTACTCAACGATTTTCACTATTTTACCGTTATTCTCGTCAATTGTACTCCCAGAGCGTGTTGCATCTTGGACAACAGAATGAATTTGTGCGTGTTCGGCTGTTACAGTATCAGGCCCAATAAACACAAAGTGCATATTCGGCTGTCTGACTTGCATTTTCGCCTTTATCTAAGAAAATTTAGAAAATATGACATGTTTTCTCTTTGTTGATATTCATCTTTTAGAAGTGCTCAAACAATATTGAGTCAAACAATCACAAAACTGTCTGAGAAGTTTTTTTAGTACGAAATTTTATCTTTCTGACGCCTCATAGCGGAACCCGATCGTACTTATACAATGCGAGATATATATTACTAAAGCCATATGTTGGCAAAATTATGGATTTCTTTTTACTAGACCGTAAAAATTGGGTGATAAGTTTTTTTTTGTTCATGTAGAAATACAGTTATTTTTACTAGGCCAAAATATTGGGTGATATGTTTTTTTTTTGTTAATGTAGAAACACAGTTCCGATTGCAACTCTTGGCAGTTGGTAAGTTTAAAGCAAGAATCAAGCAGTATAAAACTAGTTGTACTAGTATGTAACCACTAAGGTTGGAAAACAGTGTCTTCGGCATCACTATTTTTATTCGTGTCGACTCTGTTAGCAGTTAACAATCTCTGAGGAAATTTTTTTTCATAAAATCCCCTTTAAAATGTAGAGGCTTGTGCGAAATCCCTGTTAGCAAACCAAGCTCGTATTTTAGAAAAATTTAAAAAGAGCCATATCTGTCAGGATTCATTGTTGGAAGACCGCATAATGGCATACTGCCGATTAAAGGTGCATGAGATAGACTTTTGTAATTTTTATAAGACTATGGCTTAAACTAGAATATGTACAGTGCTTGGATTTGTGGAAGATGGTCATTCGAAATGCATAAAGTCCAAGGATTAGGATTATAGAATATGAAATAAAACCATTATCAATTACTGAACTTAAAACTTTTAATTTTTCTGACATTTCCGCCGAAACTGTGAGTTAATAGCACGGGGTATTATTCCATAGGTTGCTAAAAATAACACTTCGAACTATGCTACATAATGTGAAGCGGTTAAAGCTCAATCTCAGCGTTTTTGGCAGCAATTATGACCCAAAGATTGTACAAGCATGTTTTCTTATTATTTTAACGTTTAAAGCCAGTTTTTTTTTCATATTCAATAATTTCAATATTTTTTGAAATTATAACGTGTTTACACATAAAAGTCTTAGTAACTACGCATATGTAAGTTTATGGTAGTAAACATCTTAGTCACTTTTTTGTGACCGACGGCAATTAAAGTTCGTTTTTATTACATTAAAAATAGTAAATGCAAATTGTAAATGCTATTTTCTGTTTTAATCAATATTCAAAAAACTTAAAATAAACACATTTCTAGCATTCATTGTGACAAATTTGTTATACTAAAAATTGAAGTTCTTCTTACCGCTGTCCGGCGGCGGTCGGTTTATTAAATCTCCCAACAGATCTCGTATTAAAAACGATTTAGAGCTCGGGTGATGCATTTTGTAGTCTAAATGCGGTTAAACAATTTTTATATACCAAATTTAATTTGAAAAAAAATTTTTTTTTTCAGTTTTTGTATTTAAATATAAATTGTATTCACTTGAGCTAATTTTGAAATATTTCACAGCGTTTATTAAAAGTGTGTTTATTGTAACACTTTAAATTATGAACACATTTAAATTTGTGTATTTTAGTTTTTATAAAAAATCATTTGCCTATACATTTTTTTCTTGTCAATATTTTTTTATATATTTTTTATTTAAAATCTTTACGTTAGTTTTTTGCTAACAAGTATTTAATTTCATATTTATTAAATTTTTTATTTATTAAATTTTTGAACTTCCTCTCGTTAACGCGTTACCGTTGCAAATGAAGTCAAATGGCCAACTGATTGTGCCGTTTAATCCGTTTAACGGTTAAAACACTAATGTTACATGCGCAGGATAACGGCAGTGCGAATATGATAGCGCTGCTGCTGATAAAATGAATTAACGCAAATTGTCGGCTGCTTAGAGCGTGTAAACAAGTAAAATATGAAAAACAAATCTTTCAGTATGTGTGTAAAGCAGAACCCGCTGCTGCATTACATTTAACCGTTATTTAATAAAATAGCATATTAATAGCACATATTTGTTACAAACACATGTACGCGCTTTCTACGCTATACTAAGCGCTTGCTGTCATCCTGCCACGCGCACACTGACAACTGCCATCTGCTTATCGCAATCGCATCCTTATGCGTTTACTCTCACACACTAACACACTTTTACTCTTGGGCAGACACCCAACCCACCCACATCGGGCATATGTTGGCCATTTTGTTTTTGAAAAAAATACCGTTACGTACTCGCTTGCACTAATGCGCTTTTTCTAGTACGCTTAATGCAATCTCTCGCTCTCTCTCTCTCTCGCGTAAGCTTCTTTACTATATACACTTGTTCTCAATCCGCCACCCACTCACTCGCCGTTACTGCATGTCCTGCGGAGAACATTACCTTACATTGCCTTGCGCTGATTGGTCTCACATTTAGCAACCCCCTGTAGATTTTATAAATGTTTCCACTTTTTTCTATCCGCGCCGCTTTGTAAGCTTGTGTAGTGTGGGCGCGTTTAGCATAATTTCTTGACATTTTAGGCAAATCGCATCAAAGTTTTGGTTTGCTAATGTCTTCGTACATATGTATGGTATATTTGCGTTTTGGCTTCGAATGGCTAACGCTTGCCGCTTAATTAGGCAACAATTTTGTGCTGAGGATAACACTTGAAAAATTTTTATTGTTGAAGCCATTTTTTGTGTTTGTTTTCTTAAAGTCAGATAATGCGTAGACTTCTTTTCAATAATTCGGGAAATGGAAACTTCCTTAGTTAAACCGTTAAATTTAATATCGAATGACAGCAGATAAATCATTTCTTAATCTTGCGTCTAAATAAACATTTGCTTACTAGAAGGCAACGTAACTCTTTCAATTTTGAATTCTTTGACGCTTAAAACTGTTAAGTAGACCTTTAGAAGAAGTATGCTCTATGAGCGTAGAAAGCGTCTCAACTTGAGCATCAGGTGAAGAAAGATTTATATGGAGGGGAAATACTCTTCTGAGCAGAAGAACTGGCTTAATCTTCATCGGACGATTTACGCCTAAGGGTAGGCTCAGAAGAATCATTTATGGACCAGGGTAGCTAACTTTTGAAAGCAAAAAAAACTCATAATAGGATGAAACCCATTTCGTCGTAAATCGAGTTGAACCGTTTTTAATCCTAAGAATCCAATCACGCCACTCTACTTGCTCTTCCCGACGTACATATATCTCAAAAATTAAGAATATTTTCACAAAAATCCATTAACTACTCGAAGGTTCGCTTAAACCTTAAAGAGAGGCTGAGAAGGCTTATGATAGAAAACGACGAAGTTTAAGTGCTCACTCCCTCAGTTGGCTTCTTGTGCTACCACAACCTTTTCTTTGTAAAAAGCGGAATCGCGGATGGTGTGCTCAGAGTTCTCGCGCAGTAGTGGTTCAGTGTAGAACTCAACGAAAATCTTCTCTTTAGTTACACAACCCTTTCATCGCTTACTTTTTGGCTTCAAATAAATCAATTTTTGCAATTCGTAAGCTTCTTTACAAGAGATGCTGACTTAAATATTTTCTCTTCCTTCCCTAATATGTATCTGTTATCTACTGGAGCCCTGCTTTTATTTAAGTGTCCGTATTGGGACAAAATTTATTTCTTTTACAATACTTGTATATTATATATTATATACATAAATAAGATTACAATATGGTATATGTAAATTTTTCTAAAGACACTTTGTCACCGATTTCATTTATAAATATTTGAATGCTGCCATTGTGGCACCAATCAGATGTAAGGAACCGGTAACTAGCACATCAACCGGTTGTTCCAGGCCGTAAACGATGCGCACGTCTTGAAAACAATCATGTATCGAACCGAACGTTTTCGACGTATCCTTTTCGTCCGACTCAAGGCATAGCTGACACCAAATGCTCGCATGCAGACGAGCACGTTTCAACTGTTCCGTTATGCCAAAGACAGTAGTATTGTCGTTGTGATTTGAGGCACCCGAAGCAATGTTTGGCGCAAAGTAAACCGTATCGAAGTCGATAGTGCTGTATAGAACCTCAAGCAGGCGCCGCGAATCACGTTCGCCGGTGGTATTGAAGATGAGCACACGTGGGTTTGTGCTAAAAATAAATTGAGAACTTTTGGTACTCATTTTTGAAAGTTATTTAATAGTTGACCAACCTCTTTTCCGTTACGCGCTTAAACCAATCGCTGCAAACGCGCATGCTCTCGACAGTGTGCGCACCATCGATGTGGAAACTAAAGAAGGCATGGTAAAATTTAGTAGCTGTTGTTTGTAATAGTGTTTGTTAAACAAAAGAAAACTTACTTCAGTTTATCAATGCCCAATATTTGGCAACGTCCCGGCCAATTACACTGCTGCAAACCCTTTTCCACTTCACTGGTTAGCGCCGTAGGCATAATTTGTTTGTACTGTGCGTACCCATTCTTGCGCAACCAGTCGTAGGATAGTTGTATGGCCAAAGAGCCATTAAGACGTATCACTTCATTGAGATTGGAGAGTGGCTCTGCATTTTCGTGCGTACGGAAGTATTCCCGATATTCAGGCACTATGTGTAGTGAGGCCTGGAAGTTTATTAAAAAATGTTATATAAAGTTATTACTTTCTACAACTCACTATGCCCTTAGTCTTACCTTATGTTCCGCGGCACGCTTTTTGATCACATCGAGGCATTCTTTTTGTGTTACAGATGTGTAAACATCTGCGTTGTCTTTAATTATGCCCGACTTTTGCCAAGCGATTTCAGTAAGTGTATCGCCTAGCAATTGTGTATGTTCTAGTCCAAGTGAGGTTATGCCCACGGTTTGTGTATTGCTGCAAGTAATAAATAAAACTTTTCAGTATTAAATATTTTTTAATTTCATGCCCAACAAATACGAATTGAGTAGCTCGTCGTTTAACCATTGAGTGAAGATGTAAGCACCATATTATACTGTATTGTCAGTCAGCTCTAAACACCATGTTATTTCAAAATGAATATTCGTCACATTATTCCGAAGTGGAATTTAAATATTCAAAAGTTTTTGGCAAACAAGCAATTTTATAAAAATTTTTATAAAGGTGGCGCTTCATTGGGATTCTTGTTGACACATGAATCGTACGCGATTTTATCTTCACTATATTTTATCAAAAATGTTGTCTTTTGTCAATTACCTTATCACATTTGTGCAATCCAACTCGCCACCAATGCCCACCTCCAATATGATAACCTGCACTTTCTCTTCGAGGAACAAATGAAAACTTAGTATCGTTAGGAACTTAAAATATGCCGGCATATCACCCTCATATTGCTGCTGTTTACGCAGGCGATTGTATACACGTCTGAAGGTGCGTACAAATTTCTGTTTCGATATGGGTTGACCGTTTAGGCGTAGTCTTTCAGTTACTGACAGCAAATGTGGTGAACTAAAGAAGCCGGTTTTGATGCCATGTGCACGAAGTATAGACTCGGTCAGGGCACAAGTTGAACCCTAAAAGGCAAAGATAAGATATAGTGCACACAAGTAAAAGTCTGAAGTTTTCAATTCGATTGAAATAAGTAATTAGTTACGGTTCTATTGTTATTACTGTTATTTTTGATTGATTAGTAGGCTCACGGACAACTTGTAGACAAATAAAAGGATTGAATATTGAAATATTTAACTAGTCATTTTTCGTTCTCATTACGAGGTTTTATTCACCTGTGAATTTAAAAATAATTTTTTTTTGCTCATATATCGAATGTACATACATAAGTATGTATACATATTTACCAAAGTTTTGTGTCGAAACGCTGTTTTCAGAGTCGGTGAGGAAAATTTCTCCGAAACGGCTGTACCGATCGGTTTGAAATTTTCACTTTTAGATATATTTGTCAGGTAATAATCAAAACAATAAGATTTTTATAAAAATTTCGATTTTTTAATCCACTCAGAAGTGTAAATTTTTTCACAAAACAGACTTTTTTTTGGGAAGTTGCCATTTTTTCAAAAAAAAAAAAAACTAACTGGTCCTTCAATCATTACCTTTATTCAGCTATTATAGTAATATAATTTTTTGGTTTTAGGATCTGAGATAGTTTTAAGCTGCAAAATCTTCCTCAACCTCAGACAACTTTTTTACCACAAGTTCTCCAAGAAATCGACTTCGGGAGTCCATAAATTTTCTAAATGAATCATTTAATTGCACATTATTTTAATTTATTTATTAAATAATGTGCCTCTTTAAAAAAAAAAAACAATCACGAAAAACGCTTTTTTAAAAAAGCTTAGACTGTGTAAAATTGAAAAGGTTGGAGGTTGAACATTTATTTTTGGGTTTCTTTATGAGTAATATTTTTCTTTTTCCAATTAGCTAGAGTTACAAACATACAAATGTACATACATATATAATTGCGCATATTTGCTTCGAAAACCTCACCCATTTAAATTGAATGAAATAGTAATTGTGAACTGGTTTGTACCGAAATAAATAAGGGTGTTATCAAGTTCAATATTTCATGAGCAAGATAAGATTAGAAATGTTTCTATTTTAAATTATGAAATTCAAACAAAAATATGCAATGAATTTTGTGGGTCTACTTGATTTTTTGTTTAGTTTTAAGTCATAAAAGCTTACTATATAAACAATTTTTTAATTTTCTGTATACATTTTTTTCACATTGAATAAAATGATTTAATACTTAGAAATATGTATTCTTTAGCTTTCTTTTTGATACGAATATTCAAATGCTTGATTTTGATAAATTATCTGTAAAAATATATGCACTGCGGAATTAGCTTAAATGGAATGGTTTGTGGAGCTGGTGGCTATGATATCGATAACTTTAGAGCAGCTGATAACATAAATTTTAAATTCATATTTAAAACGATTTAACATATTAAAATTGCAAAGTGCTACCATTAAGTTTTTGTTCAAATTGCATGTCAGTGCAAACTTAAAAGAAACTTATCTAATGTTTACAAAGTAATTTCAAGTAAAAAAATACTTTTCGCAGGTATTAACAAATGTTTATACTTTAATCCCGGCGACATTTAAAACGCGACATTTCTATACTGGTATGTAAGTACTCATTAGGGCACTTATTTGTTACAATTCGCGTAGATAACGTATTAGTTTAATACGCGTGTTAGCTACGCAATGAAATTTACAAATACATGTAATAAATATGAGTGTTTGGCTATTGGCAGACCTTTCATAATCGCTATTTAAGTTTTTTTTCTGATTGATGCACTTGATCTATTTCACTATACATATACAAATATTTTTTTCTGTTGATAGCAAAATTTGGCTAAAACAAAAAAGTATTTGAAAGCTTTACTGAATATTTGTAGATTTAATATTTTAATATGAAATATGTTGCAAAAGGTTTCAAATGCCAAACATATGAACATTTTTTTAGCTATTTCTACTTATTGCTACTGCTTACCTTTCCCTTTGTGCCAGACACGTGTATAAAAGGTATCTTCTCCAATTCTTCCAAACTCAGGCCACTTCGCTCCATATACTTATACATATCACTTAATGGCAATTGTTTATTATTCAGTAAAATTGAACGGCGTAACGTTATCGCATTTGATTGCAGGGTATTCAAATCACTAATACATTCCTAATACCAGATGGAAAAAATAAATAACATTAACAACAACAAATACATATGAGTCTCTAAACAACACGTGTATAATATTTCGCTGGCGATGGCAGCACATGCAGTGACGTTACTAGCTAGAAACTAAACTATAAATAAAAGTGTTGTATAGCATAAAATAAACGTGCAGCAGCGCCTTGCAGCAATCCAACGCATTTATTATTGTATATCAGTGCAAGTGGAAAAAACGCATGCGTGCATGCACTCCATGCACTTTGGCTCACCTCATATTGTTGTTCAATACTGGATTCAGGCTGTTTCTGTTGTTTCTGTGTGGCAAAATTACATGTCAGCGATGGCGTTGTTAATCCTTGTGGAATAGCTCCAATTGGTGCTGGCTTTTCAGTACTCAACATGTTGGTGGCAGCACGCCGCGGCAATAGAAATGTACGTGTAGTATGCGAAAAATAAGCTCGATGCTCAATAACCGACAAGCGACTGAATAGCACTCGTCGAGCCATATTGCGCGAGCACAAACTGGAAATATGAATAAATAAAAAATAGCAAACTTTTACACTCAGTAGGGGCAAACACATGTATTGTCTTGTGGCTAACAAATAATTGAGCGCAAAAATGGCAAATACTTAAAACAAAGCGGTTCTGCGTAAACTTATCTTACGAACCTATGTATATAATTATAAGGCCAAAATTTAGTTTTACAAAGCTCTGGGCTTTTAACAAAATTATTATCGTACTCAACTGTAGCGAAAATTGTTATTTTTAATATATAGTTAACGTTACGGCAACGTAAGTAATTGAATAGCGGATAATTTATCGTCAATAATGATAGAATACAGCATTACGACAATGATTATTTCTGATTAAGATTTAATCAACCGTTAAACAAGTTATTGCATGACTTTTTATTATTGAAGAATTATTTTAAATTAGTTACGGAATATTAAGCCTTTTCAAGAGAATAAATTAATTAAATTAATTGTGTAGCGTCATGCTGGCCAATTATAGAAAGTTTTAATAGAATACATACTTATATACATGTAGGTACTTTACCTTATACTCATCATTTGTACACATGTACATCTTAGGACTGTTAAAAGTTAAATGTGCATAAACATGTAAAATATGCGTCAGTTCGAGGTTTGAATACGTCAGAGCACGTTTATGTGTACGATTTTTGCAATTTTCATGGAAACGAAAACAATATCTACAAATATACATATACATACGTACATATGTATGTACCATAGTTAAATGACAAATGTTTTTGTTATTAGAATAATAAACCTTACACCAAAATGCACCTTTGGCAAGACAAGCATTTGTCAGTTCTTATAAACTTAAATTAGTTATATTTGGAGTAAATTTTAGTGCACACTTGCTTAAACACAACTTTTTTCTCATACTCGCTAGATGCATTATAAATTATTCTTTGTATCCAAAAACACTTGGAAACATTTTACAGACTTTGCGGAGCTTTTTTCCTTTCTTACCATTACTAAGTAATAATTATAATAATAGTTCTCTGATGCTGTATGGTAACTTACTGTTTTTTATAATAAATAGATTTTGAAACAATGAACAATCATGGCAAAATTCGTTATCTCTTAGGAGCTACAATAATAATAATTTACTTATATTGTACATATACATGTCAGTATATATACTATATGTACACATATACCATACATATATATGTATTTATTTAAAAACTTCACGCAAAAACATTTATTTTTTTGACTATATGAATGTATTTCGTTCACAATCGCTGATAAGAAAATATGTAAAAGTTATCGATATCTTCTGCATATAAAGTTCGAAGTACAAGTATCGGATTTCTTATGTTTGTATACAATTTGATAAAAAAAAACCTACTGAAAAAATTAATAGCCATTTATTTATAATATTGGGCTCTGCCGTCTAAGATTATCAAACACTGTACAATATGACTATCAACACTGACATTTAAACAATATTGAGTGAATGTTCTCTTTAGACACATATGCAGAATAGAATTGTCTTTATTCCGTATATACATACATATGTAAACACTAGATGAAGCAATGCATAAATAATAGACATTTTTAATATCGACTTTAAAGAAGTTATTGGAGACGATGTCCATGTTCCCAATGCTTATCAATACTATTTAATGTATGCAAAAAAGTTGCTACTGGGTTAATGTTTTTTATTTGTATGTTCTTTATTGGGCTATAGTTGAACCAGAGAACTTAGAAGTCCATTTATGTTCTCTGGTTGAACACTTGCTTTTGTGATAACAACAGAATACAATTGTTTACGAAAAGAGAACAAAGCACATTTTCAAGATTTGACAACACACGTGGTTTGCAAACAACTCTGACACTAGAAAACTTTTGTTAACATATTGTATGATTTTAAATTATAAAAAGTGCACTCAATTGGGTTTTTAAACGTGTCTGTAAATGAAATTTTGAAAAAAGGAAAAGCACCATATCTTTTTGCTTGTAAAAATCATTACATAAATATTAAAACACAATACCACGCTTGAGTTTGAGCACAAACAACTTGGGAACAAAACCACCATAAAGTAACTACACAGCAACACTTCGTTTGGATACCTTTTCTTATTTAAACACAGAATTAATAATTTTAATACTTACGATTTATTGTGATGTAGTGAAAACTTCAGGTGATTTTCAGCGACTTAATTGATTTGCTTTTAAGTTGACATTAACAGCTGATGCTTTGAAGACAGTAGAGAAGCACAGCAAAAAGAGAACAAAATAAAAAGTGGACACTGTCAAAAACGTACGGAAGCCGTCGATATAATTAATATACTAGCCTATTGAATATAAATTTGAATTGAAATAAGTTCAGCTCTATTAAATATGAAGCGTTTACATGAAACAGTGGCGACTACGAAGTTGCGGGTACCGTCTGATGTTGATAAGGAGAAACAAGTGAAGATAGATAAGTCTGGCACATCAGAGGAAGATGCTGATTGTGAAGAAGATGAGGGTAGCAGCAGCGATAGTGATAATGAAGATTTCAATAGTAGGTAAAGTGAAATGAAATTTTCGATAGGGTGTTGATAGTACAAAATCTTTCTTGTGCGGTTCGCATGAGATTCTCAGTGGCTATATAGTAATCAAGACTATTTAAAATAATAAATATATATTTATTTATTTCTAAGACGTCACTTACCACGCCTTGGTAAATGCGAAGTTTGCGCCGCTGTTAATGCACGCTATTGCTGCCCTAAATGTGAGGTGAAAACTTGCTGCTTGCGTTGCGTACAAATACATAAAAAGGAGCTCGACTGTGATGGCAAACGCGAACGTACCAAATTCATACCACTGAGGAAAATGACCAAGATGGATTTTATGAGCGATTATTACTTTTTGGAAGAGTGCACACGTTATGTCAGTGATCGCAAGATGGATACAATAAAACGTTTTACACGTTACAATAAAACATTGCCAACACATTTGTTTCGTTTACGCGGTGCTGCTGCAGAACGCCGTACGGTGCTACGATTTTTGTTGCCTAATTTTACGCGCCACAAAAATAATACCACCTACTTTGATTGGAATTTACGTAAAATTTTTTGGCGCATCGAGTGGGTGTTCGTCAATGCGGGTGGCTTGCAGTATGTGGATGAGCGTTGCGATGAGGATTTGAGGTTGGGACTGCTGTTGGACAAATATGTGAATTTAAAAAGCGCAGAAGTCGTGCCAAAAAGGAAGGCATTGGAATACTATGAAAGTGCAGGATTTAATAAACTGAAGGTAAGTAGATTAATATTCATGCGTTTACTTAATAATTTGAATTTTTTTGCAAATTAAATAGTTGCTACTAAAGGCGGAAGGTATTAAATCTTCGCGTACGCGATATTATGCTTTAGATGTGCGTAAAACATTAAAAGCCAATTTAACAGACAAAACATTAGTAGAGTTCCCATGCATCTACGTCAGTTATGAAGAAAATCCGGCGGGTTGTGATATTATTGATAGCGGTACTTTTTTTTGCTATTAAACCATTGCTTCATATGTTTCATACTATATTTTTTAACAGATGAAGATGTCGAAGCGGAGACCAAAAGTCATGAAGCCACCATAGAAGCCTTACACAAACATCGTTTGGTGGAGAATTCAACAAAAAGCGAAAATGGTGACACCGGTGATGTAAAAGTGGCGCGTGATGCTGAAAAACTGTCCAATGTTCTAGCAGAGAAACGTCGTGAGACACGTGCGCGCAAACGTGAGGAGTTCGAAAAAGCACACAGCAATTTCCTTTTCACTGACGAGCAATTGTGGGAAATGTTATCGTCTTCAGGTGAAGAAACAGAGGAAGAAAACAGCAAAAGCTAAGTAATAAGTTATATCCAAAAAATTAGTGAAAATTCACATATGTATATACATACAAACGTGAATAAGTACGTAAGTAGGTTTAAACCATTTCTAATTGTAATAGGCACATATTGATATTTTACAAACTCAAATATATTTTGTTTTTATCGAGTGAATTAATACATTGTTTCATGCAAAATATTTATTACAGGAAATTTTTTATAATTCTGATAAATATTGTTTGATAAATTACCTAGAAAACAAATTTAAAAATAAACAATTTGTCATTCAGTTGTCCCAAAAAAATATACCTATGTTATGCACTTTTATATTGGTATGTCATGCATACAATATTTCGCTATACAAATAGTAGTTAGTTTTTTTTTATCATTATTCTTTTTAATAAAAATTTAACAATTATTACAAAACCCAAAAGTACAAAATAAATACTACTATAGCAACACCGGCGGCGCCCAGTTTCAAATACATTGATTTTCGATTTAAGTATGTCGCATCCTTTTTATATTTCTGAGACATCATCGACAGATTTTGCGTTTTTGTGTCCAATTCTGTAAAAACAAAAAGCAAAACGCATCTGTGGAATATGAAATTAATGGAAATGATATAAATATGACCAACCTGACAACACTGTGCCGCGCTGCAGTACATCATCAATATTTTGTACCTTAAAAAAGATATAAACAAAATTTTAATTTGGCAATCACATTACGCTTCTTACCACTTTTTCTTACCATAATTCGCTGCACGTCCTGCAATTGTGTATTAATCGCATTTATATTTCGTCTCCGATCCGTCAATTGTTTTTTGGCTTTCTGTATGTAAACATCGAATTCGATAAATGCATAGGGGCGAGTCACGGAATTGACACGCCGTCCATAGTTGGCATGGAATTCTTGTGCTAAATCCTCTAAATAGTTAAAGGCCAAACGTTTAGAGTACATTTTATCACACATCACCAGATAGCAAACATCATTTTCAATTAGATAGCTAAAATAAAAATTGTGTAGTGAAAATTTATCGTGTAAAATGTGAAATAGCTCTAACAACAAAGATAAGAAGCCAAGCAAAAACAAAACATACCACATAAGAAAAAAATTTGAATAATACTACATACATTTTTGCACTTTGTACTAATTGTTTTTTGCATACAACTTACTGGAATAAGTATGGTCCTGTTTCGATACTGCATCGTGCCGGTGAATGTGATCCTAATTTTCTGAATAGCATTTTCGCTTGATTCTGATACTCCAGTATACTGCGCCCGGACTGGTGATGATAAACACGATAGATATTGTATTAGCGTGTGCGAAACACAATTAGAAATAATTAAAACTTGACCCTTGACATTGTCGAAACATGCATTTATTTGTCAGTTATTATACATACCTGTTCGTCATCTTGCATGGTACCAACCAATGGAAGTCCATCAATTACACGCGCAATCATAGTTAGCAGTGCCATCTTTGTGTTTCGTGTGCTACGATAGAGCACTTACTACTTCTTAGATCCCTGGGAATATGTTTCACAACTTGCTGTAATTTGCATACACTGCACTCATTACAACCTCTTGTGGTTTTTAGAAACCTTTTACGTTTATTTATCTTCTGTATAAATCCACTTGTTCTTTTTAGTTACAGTCTAAAAAATGAGCAAAAAACGCAACAAAACAACTAATATATTCGTTTCGCTGCAAATTGGTGAAATTTATAAGTTTAAGCGACCGAACACGTCAGCTAAATGTCAAAATCAGTGGGCAATTGGATTGTTGTTGTATTGCAGGGTTACGAAGTCATCGCAATTCTTAAATATGCTATAATTTATTTTATATAAAATTAAATTTTTTCTAAATATATATTTTTGACTCATATTTTCAAACTGCAAAAATACTGAAAATTTGTCTTTCATTTAAACAAAAAAATATATTGCAAAAATAATTAATTTCTTTTTCTCCTATTCACTCTGTTGCGGAAAACCCATAAACAGGTGAGAAACGTCAGATAATAAATTCGTTTTGAGTTGGCAGTGAAATTTTTCTTTTGTATTGTATGAAATTTTCAACCTAGTGAAAATATTGTAAATTTGTCAAAAATTCGCAAGCCAAACGAAGTAATATCGAATACAAACGAAAACGAATTAATTGGCGTGTACTATATAATTGAAATTATGCATTTAATTGTTTGTGTAAACACAAAAACTTTAATTGAAAGTGCTTAATTGAACAACAAAGACGTAAGTTGAAAACCAAAAGCTTTAAAGGAAAAAAATTTACATTACTGCATTACGCATTCATCATATGTGAAAGTGTTGCTAGTGTTTTACAAATGAAATGGCGTACTACCAAAAGGGTAGTGTTGAATAAATATACATAGTTAAATCCTATATAAGGGCACAAACTTTACACAACGACAAACTTAGGTTATTGAACTGGCGTTCTGAAGAACATTTGTTTATTTCTGTGTTTTTAGTTACATAATTTTCATTACCAATGCTTGCAGTAAATACTATGAATAAATATTATATATGCGACGTAAAGTGTACAATTCGCTATGCATGCAACCTTGCTAATTTTGTGTTACCTTTGATCATTAGTTTCGCTAGTTGTCAACATAAACTGCATTTTGACATCTCGTTTTTTCAAATGTCACCAATTTGTTCATTGTGGTCTTTCTTTCGCACTGTGTAGATTTTTCTCTGAAAATTTTATAACTTCTACGAAAATCACCTGTAAATTTATATTTCGATTAAACGGAGCGTTAATTATACACTATAGTTTAAATTAGAAATATGCTATAAAACTTAAATAGCTGCAAGTGTTATTGATTGTGTATTGCAAGCAAGCAAAAGGTAAAACTTCATTGGTGTTGGTGGTGGTTGGTGAAACCATGAAAACTTCCACGTAAACTTTTTCGTTTATGCTTATTTGCCGCACCACCAGTCGTACAAACGCAATAACAACAACCATGACTCGAGTATGGGAGTAGTGCCAACAACAAACCGACAACTAAACCATACAATATAGTGTTTTCTTATTCTTGTATGGTCCGTGGACTAAATGGGGCTAGATAGTTGGCATCCATATATACATATGTATTTATTCGAATCATATCCATAATTTATATATACGTCTGGTGCGTTTTGTACGGTTGTTGGTCGTAGAGCATACGGCATGAAAAAACAGCGAACATTATTCAGCATTTTTATATAAATATTGTTAGCGAAGCGTTTATTACTTTCAAATTGGCATAAAATGTGATAACTGTGTAATATATTTACTGGCATATAACTCGTGCAACTATGATTGCAACGTGAAATAAGTCTTACATATAATGATTACAATTTGAATTTATCGGATTACAATACCTTTATTTCGACTCCTTTCCTTTCACTTTGTATAATATTTAATGATGTTTTCAGTTTGCATTATTGATAACAAATCATTTTCACTTCATGTACATATTAACCTAACTACATACCCATTTTATTTAGACAATTGGTTTCATTTGAACACGGTCAATCACCTTAATTTACTTGCATATAACCAACATTCATATATTTGTACATTTCTCATCAACATTATTTCATGGGCTTTGTTTTATTCCAATCTTTCGCATACAGCTTCAATTTCGGTGTGTAAATTGTTAAAATGTCTTGGGTGCAAAGTAATGTACCACCGCCTACGCTGCCACAGCAGCAGTCGCAACACTCGTATACACAACAGCAGAAACATCTAATTCCACCGGTAGCTCAGCAGCAACAGCCACCGCTAAATTTACAACAACAGCAACAGTATTTAGCAACACAAACGCATGCACAAGCAAACACCGTTGCTGCAACTAATGCTTACACGAATTCGGCACCACCCCTTGCATCCAATTTGGCTTCCACCACTGGCGCTTATATGAGCAAACCGATAAACGTTAACAATAACATACATCAGTCGCAACAGCATAACTCTATGCGCTCACAAATGCATGCCAACGGCGGTACACACCAACAACCGCAGCAGCCTGGCCACTTTGGCATACAACAGGTAACTTGATTTGCATTAACTGGGTCTCGTATGTGTGAAAGTGTGCAAATATGTTGTTTGGTCCTGTCACTGGTGCAATGCTTGTTAGTATACATACAAACATATCTACGGATTTTCGTAGAGAATATAGAAAATTTATTGAACCGTTTTGTCAATTTCGGTCTTTACATTTTCGGGGCTGTAATTTTTTCTTGCAATTGGGTTTATATATAAATAATACTTTATTTATTTCAACTTTTCATGTTTGCATATAGTAGATTTTATATATTTATTTGGTGCATTTAAATTCTCTCAAATACGACGTGTATTGTATTGAAAATGCCAGTTCACGACCTCATTATCATATGCATTTTGCACTGCGATACAAGTATGTGTGAGTGCGTGAATAGCGCTTACATACCATATACATACATTTATATACATATGTATATACAGACGTATGCATGTAAGTAGATCGAGTATATAAAAGGTGATTTTAATAATATTTGCATTTATTGATATTAACAGCTGGTTTCACTAGCAATTCTTTCCAATTTTTTTCTGCTTGTCAGCTAAACAGTATTGCCAGTACTTGCATGTTTATATATCATAATAAATAATTTGGTTTCGGCTTTAAGATTTCAGTAGTGCTATTTCTTATCTGTAAGTAAGTACAATTTGCAAATATACACGTATGCAAATTGTATTGTTTTTTATAACAAGCCTGACCAATGAGCGTCATCGGTTTCTACAATGTGTCAATTCTTATACTTTTGTGTTGAGTTTAGCTTTAAATTCTAAACTATTTTGTTATAACTTTTTATTATTTATTGTTATTATTGTTTTTGTTTTTATTTTTATTTATTAATTTTTTATTTTTTTTGAATACCTTTGTACGTTTTTTTTTTAACATCAATAAAATCACAAAAATCATTTAAAAAATTTGAAAATCAAAGTAAATATAATACAATTTATAATAATAAAAATATTAAATTTTAAACTTAAAAGCAATAATTGGACGAAAATAAAATCTGAAAAATATTTTCTAAAAATAAGTAAAATTTAGGGTTTCCGTTACAAGAATGAAAAATGAATTCTTTAAAAATATTTTTAAAACAAAATAATTCGTAAAGAAAAAAATATTTCATAACAAATTAATATACAAAATTGATATAAATTAAGAAAAAATTAGTAAAAAAAATCTCTAAGAAAACGATATAAAAATCGGAAAAATATAGCTAACCCAAAAACAAAAAATAAAAAATATTAAATTCATCAGTTGTTATATAAAATTCTTCAGCAAAAAGTTATATTTATATTTAAATAATAAATAAAACAAATATTAAAAACATAAAATTATCTAATTTTTTTTAAAAATTTCAATACTAACACATCTAAAAAGACTAAGACATTAAAGAAACAAAAAAATAATAATAGAATTTAGACAAACCCAACTAGCATAATATTGCAATTTCTGTGTACATACATATGTACCATAGGTATATAAATATGTAAAGTGAAAGATAAACACCACCAAGAGTGACTGCAATATTTCTGCACAAACATTGCCAGTTGTAAACCAGTTTTTCCTTCAAATAACCATTAGTTTTATTTTTGCAGCAGCAGCAGCCATCAGCCGCAGCGAACGCCTGGCAGCAACAGACTTACGCGCCACCAAACAAAATAATGCAATCGAATGCTGTTGCCGCGAACAATAATTGGCCGCAACAACAACAACAGCAACAGCAGCCACAACAAAATGCCAACAATTTATATCCACAGTCGCAGCAACAACAAACAACTGCACCGCATAACATCTGGCAACCACCAGATCTGCCAAGTGCGAATAACGTGCCAACACAGCAGCAGCAGCAACAAGCATATCCACATCCAACCACATACGACAATTATTTCACAGCAAACCAAAATCAAACGACACAGCAGCAACCAACAACAGCACAGCCAGCTGCACAAACGCCACAATATCAACAGCAGCCGCAACAAGTAGCGCCTGACGCGGCCAACTATTTTCACTATCAGCAGCAGCAGCTGCCGCAAATGCCACAGCAGCAGCCGGCACAACAACCAGCCGCCGCTGAGCTGTTCGATAATAGCAATGCGAACAACAGAAGCGATGGTTGGGGCGACTGGGACTGGAATGATAATGGCAATGTGGTGGGCGGTGAAGTCGAGCAAACGCCAGCTGGGCAGCAGGCGCCACCCTCTACGCAAATGCCCATACATAAACCGCCGCACAACGCACTTGAACCACAATCAACGAATTACAACGTGCCGAATGTAATCGAGGAGAGTTTTGGTGCACACTCTAACGACAATTGGAGCTGGAATATTGGCGATGATGTTAATGCGAATGTGCACAACACAGGCGTCGACAACGAAGCAACAACGCTAACACCACAAGTGCCAACTACAAATAATCGTCAAGCGACACAAGTGCCGCGACAAGTTGCGAGCAGCGTTCAAGTGCCTCAGCAGAAAGCCGCTGAATATGCAGTGACTGACGCGAATGATGTGAGGGCTGCCGCGGTAGCAGCAGCAAATGTGGGTGAGTACCGTAAAAAGCAGTAGTAATAAAATAATATGTTTCTGACCTGCGGCAGCAGACACTTTGTATATTAACATATTAATTTTTCCACCTATTTTCATAACGTTTTTACATTTACAGGCAAGTCCGCCACACTAACACTCTCCGAAGCGACCAATGAAAACTACAACACCACGGCGCCAACCCCCGCGCCGCCACCTAGTGCTGCACCCCTACCCGCAGTTGGTGTTGCACCAACCAGCATTCCAAACTCCGTTTATGTGTCACAAGCAAAACCGGTTTCGCGACCTTCACGTCAATATGCTTCGCCACCTGGCGTTGCCAGCCCTACCAATGAGCCATTGGAAAACGCTTTAACACCGCCGCAGGCATTCCAAAATGAGGTAGGCGCAATACAGTCCGAAGCTATGCCGCCCGCAGCACCACCTGTCGGCGTCGCCACTATCGGTCTACCACAGCACACTCCACCACCGCCTGCTTTGTCACCGCCAAGTAATTTGCCGCCACCACCCGGCGCTACCGCCGCTGCGGGTAATCCTTTCAAACGCGCAGTTGCGGCGCAGCATCATCGCGCTGTCAATATCGCAGCGCCACCTACAGCCACGCAGTCGATTACAGCTGCCGCCGTAGCTAACGCCTTTGCTGTGCCACCGCCGCCTGCAGATTTTGCCAATCCACTACTCAATCATTTGGAACCAGATAATTCGGAAATCTTACATGAAAATCAAGAAGTGTTGGGCACGACTTTACCAACACCGCCAACATCGTTGTTGCTTCCTAACACACAAACTATTACTTTGCCTGGTGCGTCAGCAGCAGCGGCACAGGCACAACTACCGCCGCCGCCTAATGATGAGCGCAATCAGTACTTGCAGACGAGTCCACTTTCGGAGAATCCCGATGAGGAGTTAAATTTGGAGGCCGATAGTCTACCGCCGCCCGGTCTGTCGCGGCTCGTGTTAGGACAGCCTGAGCTGCTGGAAGCTACACAGCGCATGGTAACCGGTACGGAGGAGCCGGCCAATATGCATATGGACGAACGGCACGCCGACGGTGAGGACACATCTTTGGAGCAGTTGCCAGCAGTACCGCTGCTGAATGCATCGCAGCGTGCGCCCAATTTGGCAGGTAAGACGGCCGTTATGGTCTATTTCGTCAGCTTTCATTTTAATGATCTTAAAATACAACAACTAATTTTTGTATTTAATATAGCAACTAATACGCCAAACAACAATGGCACCACCATAGATATAACAACAGACCGCAATTTGTACTTGGTACCTGGTGAGAGCAATATAAGCAACGAGCAACGCGTTGTTACCGGTGTCGAACGCTCGCCGGAAAGTAATGCGCCGGCACCACCGCCACAAATCGCTAGTGGTCAACGTGAGATCGAGCTGGACGGCGAGAATTTAGAGGACCAACAACAGGAGCAACAGCACCAGCAACAACAACAGTTGCAACAACCACCGCTACTCACGGTGAACAGTCGCGATGAGCCGCCTTTAGAGGGCGCTGCCGCTAGCAACGATCCTTCACCGCCAATAGTTGATGAGAGTCAGGACGTACATCATCATCACCATGTGCAACATCACCATCATCATCATCATTCGTCTAAATCAAAGGAGCTATCCAATGCCTCGACGGGTAATGATGAAAGTGATCCGTTGCCAGAGCATCATCATCATCGTCACACCGCACGTTACACTGGCGCTGGCAGCAACAAGTCGCGCAAACATTCAACCAGCGAGTTGGAGCGCAAAGTGCCCGATCGTCAACAGCGCCGCGATAAACAACGTAGCTCCGCCGATCGCTTTGAGAGCGATGATCTCGAGGGTTCTGAGCCCTACTCAAGTGACCGTGAGCGCGAACGCGAGCGTGACCGTCGCCGCGGCTACCGTGAGGGTAGTGTGCGCAGTGATCGCGAACGTGAAGACCACGACTATGTCAAGGATAAAAGGCGTCGCGCTGGCGAACGTGCTGATAAACGCGATGAACGTGATAAGTTACGCGATAAGTATTATACACGTGATAACGGCAAATCGGATACATTGCGTCGCAGTGGTCGTCACAATCGTCAATATGAGGACGATGTGGAAGATGTGAGCGGACGACGTAAAGAGCAATCGCGTCGCAGCGGTGCGCGTCATCACAATGATGAACGTGCCGGACGCAGCGACCGTAGCGAACGCGACTACGACGACTATAATCGTCGTCCACGTGGCGCGCCTAAACGCACCGACAAAATCCATGACGATGGACGCGATGGACGCCGCAGCAACTATGTGGATGATGAGCGTCGTGAGCAGCGGCGCACACGTCGCGATCGTGGCAGTGATTACGATACAATTGAGCGTCGTCATCGCGGCGCCGGTGGTGACAAATCAATGCGTGGCGAACGCACCGATTTGCGCGAATACGAAGAGTATCGCAAGCAAAGCTCGCGCAATGCACGTGAGAGTGATTTGGAGAAAGAGCGCGCACGCTACGATCCACGTCATGCCGCCATGTATGGCTATCCGTCAGGCGCGTATGGTTACGATCCCTACACTTCGTATTACTATGAGCAAATGGCGCGCACCAATCCTCAGGCATACTCGGAGTGGTATAAGAAATATTATGGACATGCAGTCGCTACAACCGCATCAAGTTTGAGCGCACATGCCGCTGCAGGTGGAGATCACGCCAGCTTGAATAGCAGCTCGTTGGCGGCTGCCACGGCCGATGGGCGTGAGTCGGTGCACTCGGGACGCAGTTCGGTGCAAAACGAAAATGATCGGTAAGTTGGCTGCAAATTATCTTTAACAATTTTGTTTTTATTATTTGAATTTTTTCGAATCTTTAGTTTTTCATTTAATTTATAATTTTATATTTAAGATTGCATTTATTTAGAAATTTCGTTACGTTAAATTTTTTGTTATGCTTTGCCTTGAAAATGTATATAAGTAGCTTAACTCGAGTATGAATTGCGTATGAGAACCATCAACGTAGACTTTACTTCACTAAAACCCTTTAATATGTTTCTTACAATTTGCTTTTCTTTGTTCTGAAACCCGCTTTTTGTTTTTAGTTCGTACTAACTTCTAAAATATTTGTGTTAATGCAAACTGTGTTTTGAAAAAACACTAAGTTAATAAATTATTAATTAAATTTAAAAAAATATTAAAACCAAAAATATTAATTTTTTTTTAAACAGACAAACAAAAAAAATTAAAAAAAAAAAATTAAAAAAAAAAAATTTTAAAAAATTTAAAAAAAAAATTAAAAAAAAAAATTAAAAAAGAAAATAAAAGCATATTTTTGTCTATGGCCAATTCAAAAATATGTTTTTAATATAAAAATTTTTTTTTTTTTTTTTAATTTTAGCTTGTCTTGTTTTACGAAATAAATATTTTTTATTTACATATCAGTTATATCTACATTATATTTATACCTAAAAATTAAAAGAATATAATAATGAAGCTATAAAAAACTAAAAGTAAAAATAAATGAAATTAAAAACAAAATAGAATTCTAGTGATACCTTTTAAATAAAGATAAATAAAGCAAGACATACTTGTATAAAAATTTAAATTTAAAATACATTAAACAATAAAAATAAGCCATTGAAAATGTCCAATAATACAAATAAAATAACTATTATATTACAAATAAAGCAAAAATAATTAAAATTATAAGTTTAAAACTAATACAAAACGTAAAAATATTGAAAAAAATAAGATAAAATAATAAAACACTAAGAAAATTATAAAAATATAAAAAAAATGAAAATTGAACATACAAATAATTTATGTTAAAAATATTAGTTTCCTGAATTTTTAAGTTGTTTTTTACAAAATAGTTTTCAAAATTTTTTTAATTCAATTTATTGACATTTTATGACAATTATAGTAATATTAAAAAAATAAATTATAGTAATATTAAAAAAATAAATTATAGTAATAGTAAAAAAATAAAAAAAAAAAATATTAAATTTTTTTTCTAATAACAAAAAATAAAAAAAGTTTTTTAAATACCAAAAATAATTAAATTAAAATAATTTTTTTTTATTACAAATAATAATAATTTATTATTATAAAAAAAATTAAATTAAATTAAATTAATTAAATTAAATTAAATTTTTTTATTACAAATAATAATAATTTATTATTATAAAAAAAAAAATTAAAAAATAAACCTTAAAAAATGGTTTTTAAAAAAAAATTAAAAAAGAAACCTTAAAAAATGGTTTTTAAAAAAAATTAAAAAATCAGTTTCACCAAAACTGCTAAGTCATTTGCTTCTACTTTTGCTCAAGCGTTAACGCTCTGAGGGCGCTATATAAATATTCATTTACTTGTGGCTATTTATTTAACTGTTTTTATTTATTTAACTGTTGTTAAGCATTTATTTGTTATTATTTATTTTATTTTTTGTTATTTCTTTATTCGTTGTTATTTATTTTTTGTATGCACTACTCCATAATTAAAATCTCAACGAACTCTTTATTTATTTATATAGATAACAATATAAAATGTTGTCATTAGTGATAGTAGATTAGGAAAATATTTTTTTACTTATTAAGCTAAGATGCCGTCTTGACGTTCTTATTGTATGAGGATCATATTTACATCTGAAGATAATTTTTTTAAATACTAATTTTCTACTGCTTTAGGCACAAAATTATTAAATTAGCTTGCAATTAATTACATTTGACATTTACAATTGAAGTTAATTTAATAGTTGTATCTGTTTTATTAATTATGTTTTATTAATTTTTTTGTTATTAATTTATTTTTGTTGTTTTTATAAAAATGTAAATTTGTTTTTTCTTAATTTTTCTGGATATTTATATATTATTTTTTTGTGATTTTTTTAGTTATTTTTTTATAATATTTTTCGATTTGTTTATATAGATTTTTTTATTTTTATTTTTATTTATAATTTTTTTTTATTTTTAATATATTTTTTTATTTAAAAATTTTTGTATTTATAATGTTTTTTAATTACATATTTTTTTTAAATTTAAATTTACATTTTTTTTTGATTTTGGTTTTTTTTTATTTTTTTTTTAGTTTTTATATTTGGTTATTGTTTGATATATACATTAAGTTTAGTTTTCTAAAAAATTTGAAAAGTATTGTGCTTAAAGTACCTCTTTAAGCGAGTTCCATAAAAACGCTTACATACTTATAAACCAAGCTAACTTTTAAACTAAATAATACTACTTATCCAAATAAAATTTATTAAGTGCATTTTAATTAGCATAGTGCCCATAGTTGTATATAATAAATACCGTTATAGAATCTTAATCATAATAAACCTGAAATCTCGCTTCGATAAACAGAAGTATTCCTAAAATTATAAAATTCTAGCTTAGAACCATTAACCCTTCAACCCTTCCACTTCACTATGTGTTTCAAACAGTGCCTACACGTTGCTGCCTACTGTTAACTAATATTGCTTGATTTTCGTTTGCAACATATGAAAGATTTCGTGAAAAATTTCTAAACACAAGATTTAAAAAGATATTTTACGAGTAAAAATTTGTTTACCGCGCAAATTTATGTACCTAATTGCAAAATAATTGTTTACAACAAATTTAAGCGTTCATATTTAATGAATATGTATGTATGTATATCGACTTGCTGATACAATTTAAAAATTTGTAATTCGATTTTTAATTAAAATTTTCTTTAAAGAAATTTATAATTGCTTGTCGAGAAACATTTTCTAAATTACTATTTTGTTAGATAGGCGTTTGTTTAATCGAATGTTTAAGTTATCGATAACAATATATTAATTATACATATATAGGATGTTATTGATAATATTTATAGATTTGAGTAACTATTAAACATTTGCGAACATAAATATTGTATTTCTTTCGAATATTTCAAAGAACAACGAAACCGAAGTCGATAAATATTCAGGAAGTCGAGTGATTGTTGTACCGGAGTTAAGTTTTGAGGCGTTTTCAATGTTAGTTGAACAAAAAAATTGGGTCAAAATTTTTTTTTTTAAATATGTAGCTACCTAAAAAATATTATATTTTGTAAGATACTTATATTCGATAGTGGTCGATAACTTTTAGTGATTAGGGTTGCAACTATAAAACTAATGTTATCGATGTAATATGTTTAATTTAAAAAAGTTTTTCGTTTTGAAAAACATTCTTAGCTGAATCTATCGGAATTTTAAATGCAATATGCATATATACAGTTAATTTCTGGGCGGCTTTTATTTTGCAAATTAAAATTTTTTAATTTTCTGACAAATATTTATTGAAAAATATTTTTTTACTATTAAAAAGTAATGGGACCTAGTTAAAATACATAAATATTTTACAGAGTTGTATTTCTTAAATTAAAAATGATTAAATATTTTCATATGTCAGAAACGAAAATCAAAAAGTCTCCGTTTCTTACGTATTTTCCCCGTCAATAACGTAGCGTTGTATGTATGTATGTGTGTGTGGCTAATATCTTAAACCTATTTGATGTCCTTAAGTATTACTAAAAAATATTATTAGTAAAGTGAATGTGATTGTCTTACATTTGTTTAAAAAATTTAGCATAATTAGCATTTCTAAAACGACAAAAAAAAATTCTAAAATATGAAAAAGTGCAAAAAAAGATTGGAACAAATTACATTGAAAAAAAATTGAAAAGTTTAGAACAAAAAAATATGGACATTTTTACAAAATTAAAAAAATTTTTAAATATAACAAAAAGCAAATATATGGAAATTTTTACAAAAAAAGAAAAATTGAAAATTTTACAACAAATAAAAAAAAAAATTTGTAAAATTTTACAAAATAAAAATGAAAAGTACTTATGTATACAAACATAAAATCCAAAACAAAAATAAAAATGTTTTAACTTAACCACAACCTAATGGAATTTAAAATTAATAACTTTTGTAAAATTTTTAAAATCTAGCAGTCATTTTGTACAAATCCAATATGCAATCATCAATCACTTCCTCAACTTTAGGTATACACATGCATACATTTCACAAGCCAATGAATACCATCGTCATTTGCAACAGCGACAACTGCATTCGCAACAACAACAACAACAGCAACATCATATGATTTATAGTAAACAGCATACAAATATGTCACTCAACTCTACAACGTTAGACGACGGTACGGGCCACATGTATGGAGCCGTTGGCGAGGCGTTACGCGCCGCGCGCTCCACAAGCAATCTGTCGCAAATTGGCAGCGGCATTAGTGCCATAACGGGCGGCGTCGTCGGTGGCGGTAGTTTAACAGCATACTACGCTGGTGTTGGCGGTGTTGGCGCGGCCTATTATGCGCGTTCCGATTACGCGGAGTCCAGGTGCTGCCAAGCAACAAAAGCTACTACTTTTTATCATTTATTTTCGTTTTGCTAGTAAAAAATCTATCTACAAGTTACAAATTACTCTATATACGTAGACATATGCTAGTCCGCCGGCAGGCGTTAGGGGTATTCACAGTCTGTGCGAAAATTAGTTGAATTCTTTTGTATCACGCATCGAAATGTGTGAAAATTTAGCAGCAAAATGACGGATAACGCGTTTCAAAACCTAAATTTTCCAGTTGAGACCAACTTTTCGTTATATATTCTATATGCTATATAAAATAAGTTAACAGATATTTTAAAACAATTTGTGCGCTTAAACGATTTTAATAGTATTCAATATTCTAGCAATCGTGCTTAGAAATATTGTTTGTTACTCTTTTCCTGTCACAGAACATATTACACGCATTACTCATATATATCAATTGCTTTTAATCGATTGTGCCCTACAGTGCCTTTCAAACTTAACACTCAATTATCACTTTTCTAAATTTTTTCTTTGTAAATAGCGTAAAATTCATAAGTTCACATTATCAATTTTTACATAAATCACGCTGAGAATACCCCTAATCACGTGTCTGCGCATTCTGTTTGACCTACATTGGCTTACATTAACAATTTTCGGCTTAAGTAAATTTTTCAAACTAGTTTTAGTCTCATTATATAAGTGCATTTTTGATATCTGATATACATATATCATAGTTTCATACATCTGGCACATATACACATACATACTCGTATATGACTATTGGCTGCATTAACTCTTACTTCGATTTCGACATATTTTCTATATTGTTGTATGTATCTATAACTCTATCGGTATATGTTTCTCTAATGTTATCGGAAGTATTATATGGGGTCTACACTTTTATTCATGTATGGTATATTAATGCATTTTAAACATATATTATTAATATATATACATGTATGTTCATATTTATACACATAGATTTATATATATATATATATATTATATTATATTATATTATATTATATTATTCTGTAGCTTAGGTACTTGTTCTTTGGAAACTTATATAATTAATTTTATATGGGTGCTCTCTAATCATTATAATTAACATATTTTATGAACTTATGAAACATACTTTCAATTTTCTGCTTGCCTTACATATTTTATTATTCAGATCTATTTTACGATTTTCTCCAACGTTTGGTGTGCGATATTGTCTATATACACAATCATACATACCACAATTGCTGCTTAAAGTCCTTCTAAGCTGCGTACAGAGAAATACTTACAAGAGGTTTAAGCAAAAATTAATTGAGCTTTCTGTCTTGTTAGTGTGTTTTTTATATTATTCAATAATGCCCTACAGTGCCTTTCAAACTTAACACTCAATTATCATTTTTCTAACTTTTTTCTTTGTAAATAGCGTAAAGTTCATAAGTTCGCATTATTAACTTAAATTTCTCAAATTTGTTTGAAATATTTTCTAGACATATTAAAAAAAAAAACAATATTTTTTGTCCACAAAAAATGATATTTTCGAGTAAATGTAAGTTCCTTCTTTATTTAAGTTTTTTTTTCAAATATTTGAAATTTGAATTCGCAGCCAATAATTCAGTAATTTTCTTTTCAACCAAATATCAAAATAATTTGAACTAACTCGTAAGTTTTTTATACATTGATAATTATTAAAATTCACATTTTTAGCGCTTAAGTCATGCCCGTCTGTGCCTCAGTTTTTGAGATATGGATCTGAAATTTTCCACACATCTTTTTTTTTCATGAAGCTAGTCATATGTCGATACCGCCGATATCGGAGCACTATAGCATATACGAGTACCATAGCTGCTATGCAAACTGAACGATCCAAATCAAGTCTTTGTATGGAAAACTTTTTTAATTGACTAGATATCTTTTCGAAACTTGGCATGGATTATTGTCCAAGTCAATGGTACAATCATCGTAAAAATTGTTCATATCAGACTACTATATCATATAGCTGCCAAACAAACTGATCTGTCAAAATCAAGTTCTTGTACTTGTATGGAAAAACTTTTTTATTAGTTAAGGATATATTATATATAGCTTCGGTGCAACCGAAGATAACGTCTAATTTCATTTAAGCAATAATTTTTTTGATCTAGTTTAAATTTAGAAAAAAAATTATAATGCAGCAATTTTTTCAAGAATTTTTTTTTAAATTTTTTGTTGTTTTTTCATTAAAATATTGATATAATTTTTTTAAATAATTTATTCTTGAACTTTATTATTTTATATATCTTCTATTTTATTATTTTTTACATTATTATTATGTATATCTACATTAGGGTGAAGCGAAAAAAATGTTTTTTTTGCTTAGCCTGAGGGTAAAATCTGTAGATTATAAAAAAAGACAAATTTTGGACAAAAAATTTTTTTTTTTAACATCTAGAGGCGGCGCACTCAGTTTTAAAGTAAATTTCGAGTTAAAATTTCTTTTGGACATTTATATAAAAATTACCGAATGTGACGGTTTTTGGTTCAAAATTTGACCAAAAATTTTTTTTAGGTTGATAACTTTTAATTGGCTAGAAATAGCACTCTCCACAGCTTCTAGACCACTTATCAAAAATTTTTTACGAAATAAAAATTTTAACTCGAAAATTTACTTTAAAACTTAGTAGATGTTTAAACAATTATTTTTTTTTAAATCTACAGATTTTACCCTCAGGCTAAGCAAACAAAAAAATTTTTTTCGCTCCACCCTAATCTACATATATAAATATTCTTTCTTAAATTTCTTTTTTTAAAGAAATTTATGTAATTAGTTAATAATGTATGTATGTACGTGTGTCTTTCTCTTCGCATGTCCTTATTTACATATGTATATACATACATACATATAAATATACATATATAGATATATAGTATAGATCAAACTTTTGTATATTATAACCCTCAAAATTTATATAATTTTTTTTTAAATGCATTTTCTCGTACTAATTTTCATTGCAACTGTACATACAAAACATAGGTCTAATTTTTTGGGTTTTCAAAAAAAAAAAAAAATTGTTTTGAAAGATATTTTTAAAAATTTGCTATTTTTTTTCAGACTTTTTGTTGAAATGCTATTTTAATTTTAAGCTTCTTGAAGCAAGCGTTCTTTGGCAATAGGGGTATTACCTCCTATACAAGGTATCACAGCAAAGCCGAGGGTTTTATTCAAAACCGCTTCTTTCAAATAGTGCAGTTAATAAAAGTTAATATTAAAAATATATATACATATATATGTATATATAAAAGTATTAGCAACACTGACTATGTATGAATTGAAAAAAAGTTTTTTTGCCACTACTTATATCGATTTTTTTCTTAATTATTTACCAGATAAACAAATATGCATATGTATGTATATAAATTTATCACAAAAAATTTTCACTTAAATATACATATACTCTATTTAAAAATATAATTTTATTAAATTTTATCAAGAAATGCATGTCTTCGGAGCAATTAATAAGGTTTTATTTTGCGCATGCGCAGTACTACAATTATTAAATTTGCAGCTGTACATTTAAATAAATATTTTTTTTTTATGTATGTCTGCTTAAGATATTTTTTTCTTATTTTATTATATATTCTATTACTTCAAAACATATGATCGCTTCATTTTGAGTATATTATTTAGTTCGTTTTATTTTTCAAAATTTTTTTTAAATATTTTACTAACTCTACCTCTCGTTTCACTTCTAGATCGGGTCATTTGTCATTACGCGATGCCGAAGTCATCGCCGAACCCGATCCACAACGACTCACACCACGTAAATTCGTTAATGAGCACTCAATCGTTTCGCTGTCGGCCGGCATACTCGTTACCGTTAAACCGAAGTACACTTCACATGGCGCCATTAGTAATATTGTGAAGTTGCAGCGCTTAGGTGTCAACGATGCAACGCGTCAACTCTTCCAGGCCTATCCAGGTCCGTTGGTGCGTGGTCTCACACACAAGAAGACAATTATTGAATTCTGCGAAGAGCAAATACGTTTGGGTCCCATGGAGACCACCATCTACGCCAAGCAGCTGTTGTCCAATAATATTGAGAAATATCGTGGCTCCTATACGTTGATGTGGAACCTGCTGATTTTGTTGTTGCGTCAAAATGGCGTAAGTAGAGAAAGAAATTGTATATATATTTTTTTTAAATATTTCGTATATTAATAACTAAATTCAAACACAGATGGTCGTTGGCACGGATATTGCCGAATTACTTTTAAAAAATCAACAACAATTCCCCTATCAAATAGAGCACACCGACGGTGGCGACTCATCAGCTTTGAGTGGGGATGAGGAAGATGAACAGCTGGCGCCAGCCACTGATCCTGCTGTCGCCGTACATAATGATATCGAACGTGACTCGGGTAACGAAGCTGAAGCCGTCAATAACACGTCCAAGCAAGCCGCCAAATCAACTACAACCATCAGCAATACACCAGTGCTCACCGATGATGAGATAACCGAAAAGTTCCGTAACTATTTGCTGTATGGCAATGTGAATGAGGCGCTCGACTGGGCCACCGATAACAATTTGTGGGGTCATGCGCTCTTCCTAGCCTCCAAAGTGGATCGTCGTTCACACGCCAATGTCATGATGAAGTTCGCGAACAAGCTGTCGCTTAACGATCCACTACAGACCCTATACCAGCTGATGAGCGGCCGTCAACCGTCTAGTGTGACTAGTGTGCAGGATGAGAAATGGGGTGATTGGCGTCCACATCTTTCGATGATACTTTCAAATACGTCACAAAAGCCCGAATTAGATCGCAAATCGATTACAACGCTTGGTGATTCGTTGCTCAATCGTGGTGACTTATTCGCGGCGCACTTCTGCTATCTAATGGCGCAAGTGGGTTTCGGGTGCTACCAAGAGAGTGCCACACAGGAGACCACCTTGCAACAGCATTTGCCAAAGTAAGTTGTTATTATTTTTCTGACATTGTGATGTAATTTTTTTTATAATTTTTTTTTTAATTTTTAATTTATTCATATATTTTTTTATCTTTTTATAATTAACTATTAATATATTTAAAAAAAATTGTTTTTCCATATTAAATTTGAAAAAAAACAATTTAAAAAATTTAAATAATAATAATTATTTTTTAGAAATATAATTGTTTTATTAATATTATATTTTTATTAATATAATTTTTTTTATTAATTATTATATTTTATTACTTTTAAAATGAAAATGTTTTTTTAACTTATAAAAAATTATAATTTGTATATTAAATTTATAATTATTATCAAAATTAAAATTTTTTACTCTATAATATGTATTTCAAATTATATATTATATTTTAAATGTTATAATAAGTTTTTAACTTCCCGCTAAGAAAATGGAAAATTTTCTAAAAATCGGGAAGATATTGGTTTCACCCCATTTTGCAAAAATCGAGTTCTCAACAGATCTCGACGTTCTGAGGGTAGGGGAAGCTTCCCCGAACATTTCTACGATGATGTCCGTATGTCTGTATGTATGTGTGGATGTATGTGTGTGTGTGTGGATGTATGTGACCCTCTTATAACTATTAAACTGCTCAACCGATTTGAATAAACTAAACGGAATTCCAAAGGGTTTCATTGCACTTGAATTTCGTGTAAGTTTGGACCCAATCGGACCAGTAGATTTCGAGAAATCTCAAAAATAAAAATTTTGAAAAATCGTTTATTTCGAATCCAAACGACTTGACCGATCGACACCAAAAACTAATCAGTTCTAAACCTTGAAGAAACACATCGTTTGCCGCAAACCGGGTCGAAATCGGTTGATTTACTTGCTAGATATCGAAAACGAAAAATTTCGAAGAGCTCAAAAGCAGTGAAAAAAGCGGAATTTGAACGTTAGCGTATGAAATTAGAGGGAAGTTGCAGGGATGGCCCTTGAGGCCAACCGTTTTCCACATTTTTTTTCTCAATTATGATGTTTTACGTTCTTGTAAATATTTTTTAAATCTTTTTCTCTGATTCATTTATTTGTTTCTAATATTATTATTTTTATTTTTAATTAAAGTTTTATGAAATTTGGTTAAAATTATTTTTATAAAATATGCATAATTTTTTATTGTATTAGTTATAGTACTAAAATGCCAATTTTTCCTACTTCTCTTTTAATGTGTTTTTAAAAAATTTTTTATTTATTTAAATTTCTAAAGATTTTTGAAATAATGAATCAATATTTTTAAAAATTTTAAAATTTTATTTTTGTTTATTTATATTTACTTTTAATTTTAAAATTTTATTTATATTTATTTATATTTACTTTTAATTTT